GGTGATTAAAAATTAACCAAACTAGCGTGACGTCAATTAGGGATGGCCCAATGCTGTATTTTGCCGTACCATCAGATGGGGGTGGGCTATCAACCCTTTGAAGGAAGGGTGTGATTTGTTTTAAACGGGATTATTTCAGATCTGTTATAAAAGTGTAAAAGTGTATTATGGAAATGAAATGCAGGATCTGGCATAGGAAGGAGGGGAGGGGGGAGGGGAGGGGAGGGGGGACAGCCCTATGGCTGCACTTTTATGTGTGTGTGTAAAAAAAAAAAGGGGGGGGTGGATTTTCGGTCCACTTCATATGGCTTATAATTTATGTGTATTTTGTATTTGGTTTTTACCTGAATTAAGGGTAGCAAACTTAGGAACTTTCCAGGCGTCAGAAACTGTAGCCACTCCACTGGTTGCAGAACTTTTGAAAATTAAATTAAATGGGTGGAGAGTTCAACAAGTTAAATGCCAAGTTGATTCACTGACATAAGCTGATTCGACAAATGATTTAACTGCACGGGGGCCTACTGATTTTCTCTTAACTACTTGAACTTGCTTGTTGGACATCTGGTTCATGTGATGAAATCAGGTTTAACATGCTACTCCCGCACAATGAAAGAAAGAAACGTATTGAGATACATCTTTGAGTAGTTTTTTATTTACAAGAAAGCACAGTAACAAATATAACAATGTAAAGTTATAAATAACATTTTTTGATAAGATATTTCAAGAAGAATCACTTGTCTATAAGTTCAATTAAAAATTTTAAATAGTCAAATTTTAGGAATAAATCAATTTTCAAATACTTTCTTATGTCCCTTTAAACTTTAAACTTTAACTAAAAAAAAAAAAAAGTCTGTCGATAAACATGGACATAAGCATGGGCGCCCGCAGGTAGGGGCAAGGTGGGGCACCCCCCACCTGGATTGATTGGATAACAAAAACTTTAGACAAAAATAGACACAAATTTTATTTAATTAAAGAGAAAATAAAGAGAAAGTAACTAAGCTGATGTCCTGTCCATTCGTTCACCATACAAATACGCTACAGTAAATTAAAGCTATATTAAAACTTTTCTAAAAATTGTTTGCCCCCCCCCCCCCCTGGAAATTTAATCGATTTTTTTCTGCGGGCACCCATGACGTGAAGTGATTTAAATATTTTTTTAAACAAAATGTTAGTCCTAATCACCCGTATCATGGGACTTGATCACTTGGTGTTTTGATATCTGAATATACTTAAGCTTTAATAGTCCTAATCACCCGTATGATGGGACTTGATCACTTGGTGTTTTGATATCTGAATATACTTAAGCTTTAATAGTCCTAATCACCCGTAAGATGGGACTTGATCACTTAGTGTTTTGATATCTGAATATACTTAAGCTTTAATAGTCCTAATCACCCGTATCATGGGACTTGATCACTTGGTGTTTTGATATCTGAATATACTTAAGCTTTAATAGTCCTAATCACCCGTATGATGGGACTTGATCACTTGGTGTTTTGATATCTGAATCTACTTAAGCTTTAATAGTCCTAATCACCTGTATGATGGGACTTGATCTCTTGGTGTTTTGATATCTGAATATACTTAAGCTTTAATAGTCCTAATCACCCGTAAGATGGGACTTGATCACTTATTGTTTTGATATCTGAATATACTTAAGCTTTAATAGTCCTAATCTGATCTACAAGTAACATTTTTAATTTGGAATTTTAACACTTTATGCAATCGATCCAGTTAACTTTTTATATAATCCATATTTTTTTTGTTTACCTAGTTCCCTATAATCCAACCAGTTTAATCTATATCTCTAAGCAATGCAGTTTATATAATTCTCTTTAATCCTTCCAGTTGATCTATTTCCCTGGTTTGGAAAATAAATGGAAGAAAATATTTAAGTAAAACTGCTTGTATCCATGAATAAAAAAGATGGAGACATGTTTTGCGTTCCGGTTCCTCCGATGCTTCAGCTCATTTTCAGCAACCGACTTCGTCAACTTTTTAAATCTTAATTGTAGAAATAAAAGAAATACCCTGCTTAATTTTTCGAGTAATTTTTTCCCACGGGGTAACGTCATCAAGAACCCGCACCCTCTCAACTCCTCTCCAAAATTCCCCAACAAACAGTGCAGCCAAAACCAACAACCACATTCAAGACTCACTTAAAAATCCAAGATTATTTATTATTCTGAACCACCGAGTCAACAATTTCAGCATTTATTTAAACCATAAATTAACGATCTTGAATAAGTATGAGCATAAGGAGTAACCAAAATAAAACCACATGAAATGTCTCATTTGGTTGTACAGAGTTACGGAACTTAAAACATTTTTTTTTAAAAGCAGCTCTTGTCGTGAATCAGTCAATAAAGTTTATGGCTGTATGCTGAATGCAATACTTAATACACAACAGCTGTACAAGTTCAATACAGCGCGCAGTGAAACAGCTTCACGGCAAGCAATAAATAGCTTTACATGTTCAATGCATGATGCAAAATCACATTGCAACAATATTTAAATAAAGGGATAGAATACAATGCAAAATAGTTGCACAGAATCACATTTAGAGAATCACAGGAAGCTGTCGTGGAAAAAAAAAACGTCAGCATTACGTTGATACCAAGTTCATTTCTCTCCTGTCACAAAAGTACATCACCATTATGGCTTATGGCATACCATAAAAACCTACATTAACTCGCTGCTGGGCCCTTATGTCACAATGGATTGCACATACATTTTATTACAGCTATTTTGTCAACAAGAGGTCAGTAGGATCCTAAAATAGTTAACAAAATATAAAGATCTACAAATATATTTAGATTCACCCACATCTCAATGGTAGCCGCAACTCTTGTACAAGTCAGTCAATTAAGATAACTCTTATCGCTGCCGGAAATCAATGGTCGCAAGTCTCTCCAGCCCATAAACCAAGGGATGAAACTCTTGCAGTAACAGTAACTTGAACCAGTTAATGATACATTACCGAACTTGCGAGAGAAAAAAATAAAGCGTTGCAGAAATTCTCAGGCTACAGAGTCCAGATATCTAGCTGAGCTCCAGCCCTTGAAGTTGTGACAGACCGATGCTGATAGCTGCAGGAAATGGGGGGACTTTTCCGATTGTCAGTTTCTGATGTAACTTTGCTGCCAGTACAGGCCATGGTTGTAGGCTGGACAGAAACAATCATTATGTCCTTTAAACCTCATTCACAGTCAACAAATGCAAAAAAAGTGTTCTCCTCCCCACGCCTCAATCCTCCTCATCAGTCTCTGCCAGGGTGGGCAAGGCCGGACTCCTGGGAACGGATGGACTGTTCGTCGAGCTCCCCGTGCTCCCCCCGCCCCCTCCAACCACCCTGTTGGGCGACGCCGGCGGCGTGAGCGTCTGGAAGGCGTCGAGCCACTGCTCCAGGGAAGAAAGTTCCAGAGTTTCAAACTCGATCACGTTGCCGGAGTCGCACTTGCCCGCGACGATGAACCGGCCGAGGCAGTCCCCCGGGATGACGCGGCAGTGGCGCATGTTGATGTAGACCGGCTTGCTGGTGTACAGGCAGTCGCGGGAGATTATGGCGAAGTGGTCATTGTTACACCGGTAAACTTTCACGAACACCTGCATTTTGCGACTGGGGGAGGATTTCGGGGAGGAGGAGGAGGATGGCGGTGACGTGGAGTTGGACGATAATCGAAACTGAAACGACGAGGAGGGGGATCTCGAGGGTGAGCCTTTTGGCGACGCAGACGGTGACGCGCTGTCGGGCCCGCCGGTTTGACGAATCAAGTACAGCCTACCGGAATACACCTCGTGCTTTTCATCCGAGTACGACGACGACGACGATTGGCTGGGCGACGAAGACCGGAACACGTCATTATCAAGGTCGTCGTCCTGCAGGTAGGCGGAGCTCATGACGTCCTGTCCGTCCGCGGAATCCGGCGGGCATATCGTGATGTGCGGTGGGATTTTAGGCCTTTGCGCCGGGCGTGGAGAGTAGCATTTTGACGCGTTGGCCATGAGCTGACCAGACAGCTGGCAGGCGAGGCTGTTCCGGTCACTGCTGGCCCGATGGTGTGGACTGAGGTTCATGTTGTTATTGTTTATGCTATAGTAATCTTCTTGTCTGGGCGCAAGCAGCATATTCAGGTACGGGGGAATCTGTGCACGGGAATTACAGCAATGATTTGTCTCGCACCGTTGTGGAATGCAGCTCAGAACACGTGACCAAATGTCATACTTTTGACTGATGGATTAGAATGTTTACACTTTGAATAATTCCACAAATATCACTTTACAAGCTGGAGATGTCTGAAAGTTTTTCTGAAAAGAAATTTAAAAATATTTCTTAGTCAGTTAGAAAATATTAAAATATTTTTTAAAACAAATCTTATAATGGAAGCGAAAATAAGATTAAATTAAAATAATTAATTCAACAGTAACCTTGGTACTAGTTTTTACAAACTAACTTCAATTCTAATTCTATTGATAAGGAAATCTGTGGAGCCTTGCTTCTTACTTAACTCTTAACCCTTAATCATTATGTATAAAAGAAATCTGACGGAATTTTAACAAATCAATTCGTCATTCAATAGAAGTCTGTATAGAAAAATACCACGTGGGCCAAATTAACCAATAGAGTCGGAGAAACCAATTATTTCATCTTCCAGAGTCGGGGGTAAGGGACTTGATGCCAGGCGCTTGTCTCCCCTAGAGTCTAACCAATGTTTAACAGCTGTGACCAGATTTGTTTTCATTAAAATTTAAATGCATTCAATAAGATGGAGCCATACCCACTGCCAGCGTCACAGACGCCATACAACATACTCACTGCCAGCCACATAGACGCCATACAACATACTCACTGCCAGCCACATAGACGCCATACAACATACTCACTGCCAGCCACATAGACGCCATACAACATACTCACTGCCAGCCACATAGACGCCATACAACATACTCACTGCCAGCCACATAGACGCCATACAACATACTCACTGCCAGCCACATAGACGCCATACAACATACTCACTGCCAGCCACATAGACGCCATACAACATACTCACTGCCAGCCACATAGACGCCATACAACATACTCACTGCCAGCCACATAGACGCCATACAACATACTCACTGCCAGCCACATAGACGCCATACAACATACTCACTGCCAGCCACATAGACGCCATACAACATACTCACTGCCAGCCACATAGACGCCATACAACATACTCACTGCCAGCCACATAGACGCCATACAACATACTCACTGCCAGCCACATAGACGCCATACAACATACTCACTGCCAGCCACATAGACGCCATACAACATACTCACTGCCAGCCACATAGACGCCATACAACATACTCACTGCCAGCCACATAGACGCCATACAACATACTCACTGCCAGCCACATAGACGCCATACAACATACTCACTGCCAGCCACATAGACGCCATACAACATACTCACTGCCAGCCACATAGACGCCATACAACATACTCACTGCCAGCCACATAGACGCCATACAACATACTCACTGCCAGCCACATAGACGCCATACAACATACTCACTGCCAGCCACATAGACGCCATACAACATACTCACTGCCAGCCACATAGACGCCATACAACATACTCACTGCCAGCCACATAGACGCCATACAACATACTCACTGCCAGCCACATAGANACAACCCACCACAAACACCGCAACACAACCCACCACAAACACCCCAACACAACCCACCACAAACACCGCAACACAACCCACTACAAACACCGCAACACAAGCCACTACAAACACCGCAACACAACACACCACAAACACCGCAACACAAGCCACTACAAACACCGCAACACAACCCACCACAAACACCGCAACACAACCCACCACAAACACCGCAACATAAGCCACCACAAACACGCAACACAAGCCAACTTTAGGCCAGTAGAGATTGCTGTCGCTTTTTCATTTTGGCTTTAAACATATCGCAAGGGATACACCCCTGGTAATATTTTACAAGGAATACCCTACATGGAATGGAATTCAATACAGGGAATATATCATAGGGAATGATACTTCACAGGAAATATATTGCAAGGAATACTTTACAGGGAATACATCACAGGGAATACATCACAGGGAATACATCACAGGGAATACATCACAGGGACTACACCAAAAGGTATAATTTACAAGGGATCTATCACACGGAATACATCACAGGGAATACATCACAGGGAATACATCACAGGGAATACATCACAGGGAATACATCACACGGAATACATCACAGGGAATACACCAAAAGGTATAATTTACAAGGGATATATCACACGGAATACATCACAAGTACTATATCACAAAGAATATATCACAGAGAGTACATCACAGGGAGTACATCACAGGGAGTACATCACAGAGAGTACATCACAGGGAGTACATCACAGGGAGTACATCACAGGGAGTACATCACAGGGAGTACATCACACGGAATCCATCATCTAAGTAGAATCTAACGTTGCTGTAACGGTCAAATGTTATTTGCGTCTTTTGTTACAGATGGCCAGCAGGCGACTTGGGAGAACTCGCGCTCCATCTTGGACCAATCACGCCGCGGAGATAGCGGCCGGAGGGTGGGGGGCGGGGCGATACGTGGCCGGCTTAATTAGACGGCTGATAATGGATGCAGTCGACATTGTGTCCAACCTGCATCAGTCACTGAGCTGACTGTACATTAGAACGGACCCCCCCCCCCCCCCCCCCCC